ATTCCTGCACGTTTCTGTTTCATCTCCATTTATGCCACGCCTCAGGACAGTGTGATGGCCTGAGGTGGTTTTTCATCTCATCGTGCCTTTTTTTGATGCTGCACATGTTCACACTCGTGTTTTTGGGGTACTGGGCAAAGATCCCCAAGGTGGGGCATCCTTGGCCTTTAAAACGAAACACAGAAAAGCCACTGAAACAAAGAGCTGCAAAGCCCAGGAAAAAAATTACCTGTGATCCAAGGCTTCCCAATTTGGTGATCTGGAGAATCCTGACTTTTCCAAGTCAGGCTGAGTTAGGATTTTCGGCAGGAGTGCAGATAGTTATCCTTTTTTCCTGCTCCCCTCACCGCGAGGGACCTGCTTAGTTTGGGACTGGGGTTGTCTTTGCCTTTTCTGATGAGCAGCGGCTTGAGGAAAGGGGAGATGTGGGCACAGGCAGGATGAATCAAGCCGCTTGTCGTCCCCAAAAGGTTTGGGGATAACTCCAAGCTCATGCAAGTGGGAAGCAGTGGCTGGCACAGCCGGTGAGGGAGAAGACCCACCTACAGCCCCCAGCCCGGTGCCAGCAGAGTGAGGGAGACAAAAGAAGAGGGGGAAAAAAAAAAATCACTTGAAAGTTGTCAGTGGAGAAAAAAAACTCACAGGTTGTGCAGTGCAGCTCAAGACTACTGAGAGCCGCTCCCTCCTCTGCTCCGCTCCTCCCCAAACGGGTTGGGGCTGTGACCAGCAGGACTCCAAAATCCCGGGTCCCCTTGCTGGGACCGCACACGCTCTGCGTCCCTGCAGCAGGTGGGGAACGGTTTCTCCCTCTAAGGCCTTGGTAAATCTTCAGTACTTTTGTCGCCCCCTGAAAAGTTCCCAGGTCATTTTGTTGGTTTGTTGGGGTTGTTTTTTTTATAGCAGTTACAAAAATCATCATCCCGATTTGGAATTTGTGCGGGCCGCGTTCTGCCGCGCGGCTCGTTTCTCAGTGCCGAAGCATCACTTCATACCCAACAATCATTTGCTATTTTCGCTTCTGGTAAAGGACTGTGAACAGATGCAGTTTGTTTGTTTTTATTTTGGTGGGGTTTTTTTTTTTTGAAGCCAAACAATTTGTTTCTCTGGCAGGCAGGGAGTAGCAGAGTATTAAACACTTCTTTCACAGAAACGTTGATCTGTTCTGTTGCGTTAAAAGGTTTAACAGTTTTCCGTATATTGTATTAAAATGGAATAAAGCTGATTGGTTTGTAGTTTGTTTTTCGGTGTTAGTATAAACTTAATGATGTTCGAAGCAGATCGCTCATTAATATTGCCGATAGCATTTGTTGCATGGTTTTGGTTTGGTGGGGTTGTTTTTTTTTTTCCTAACGTGCTTGGCTGTTTTTTTTTTTTGTGACACAGTCGGCTGGGGAAATGATCAAGGCATTGGAGGATTTGGAGAGGAGCCAGGAATTAAGGCTCAGCTAGCGAACCTTATTCGATCTGTACGAACCGTTATGAGAGGTAAGTGACAATCTTTTGTTTCAATACTGTCTGCCCGGTTTTGTTCCCATGCTTTAATGAAGTACCATCAGTATTTTGACTCTCTTCATTTACCAAACAGCTGCTATTTCTGCTCATCATTATCAATCTGTCCTTCACGCGTGGAGGGCGCAGGTCCCAGATAAGGTGCCCTAGTTTTGATAGAGCGTAAAACATTCCCTGACTCTGGCTTGTGGTGCCGCTGCTGTGCCTTGTCTTTCCCCGGTGTTTGGGAGATGGGGGGAAGCTCGGTGGTCAATCAGAGGGTGCAGTTAGCTTCACCTTGGCTAAATTCAGTTTTATATAAAGTACCTGGTGAGGGAAATGTAATTCGTGGGATTCCTAAAGGTAAGCCAGGCTTACGTGCCTCAAAAGATGGGGGGAAAAAAAAATAGACTCCTAATTTGTAAGTTACTGATAGTTTTTTTCACTATAAAACACACCAAAAATGCCTTTTATAGGTGATGATAAAGACGAAATAACAATCTGCCTGCCACAGGGTAAAACCAGATACGTTTCTTCTAAACCACAGCAAAGCCAAGGGTAGAAACTGACTTTGAGGCGGTTTAGTTTCATTTGGAGGAAAAGTTGTTTGGGTTGAAGTTAAAACATGACGGGCCGTAGAAAAATTTTTGTGCTGTTGCTTCCTGCTAATTTTTAGTATCCTAGGCTTTGATCCTGGCTCCTTCCACTGATACTGATCTTTGCATAAGAAAATCCAGTGTATTTTTAAAATTTTGATTGATTTTGCTCCTTAAAAGGTAGTTTCCCAAGGTAACGTGAAGGTCTGTCGCTTTGTGTTGTGGGAAAGAACATTTTCACAATTACTCTTTTTTTTTTTTTTCTTTTCCCCCCTACAGTGCCGTTAATAGCTGTGAACTCCGTTACAATCGTTCTCCTCCTGTTGTTTGGTTGAAGACGCCCGGTGAAAATCTTTTCAACGCCCAAAGAAGCAAGTTGCTAACCATCACTGCTCTGAGTTTTCTGGGATCCAGCATGGTTTAGCTGTCAATTTGACACTCAACTTAAAATAATAAAGACACTATTCCTATTTATCCTATTTCCTAACGTTCGGTTGCAGTTTCATTAAACAAGATAATGGGATCAATGCAACGAAGCTGCGAATATATTGGACTGCGACGAGTTCTGTTGCTGCCTGTGAATCGCGCTGACCGTCAGAGTGCGCGTCGTAAAGCAGCGCAATGGCGGCCGGTAGGTCGCGGTCTCTAGATGTCTCGTTACTCAGGGATGAATTTCCTTCAGTACGCTTCCCAAATTATTTTTCAGTTAAGAAAAACAACAGTGTTTTTTATTTCGGTTACTACCACTGTTTAGAGAACGTGTTGTAAATTGCGGAAGCACAATTGTCGCGCTGAGGGACGTAAAACCAGCTGGGTAAAGTCCTGATTCGGTTCGCGTTGGAAATTGAATTTTCCTGCTTCGCTTGAGACCAGGGTTTTCCCCTTGGCGTTTTGTAGCCTTTTCAAACCAGTCATATTTCGTGCTGATGGTGAAGTAAGTTGAAAATTGCTTGGTGCAATTGCTATGCAAAATCCCAAAAAAAAGCTGTACCTAAAGCTGGGCGACTCTGTGTTAGTTTAGAGTAGCAGGTGATACTAGTGATCAGCATTTATTACTGTTCTGTCAAGGATTATTCCACTTTTTTGAACATGTGTTAAGCATCTATGGGGATTAGTGTGTTGGAAGTGGGGGACCCGTTTGTATTCTGAGCTTCTTGGGAAGTGTGAGAGGGGAATACTGTGCCCTTTTTGAGTGCAATTCTTTGTTAAAAAACAGCGAATTTGCAGCCTTTTCCGTTACTGCTGCTGCTTCCCCCGCCCTCCACCTTCCTGTGTTAATTTAACAACTTTGAAATTGAAACTATGGGTATGATCTTGCAGCTCTGCTGCAGAGAATATTGCTAATTGCTTTGGTGCAGATCTGGTCTCAATTAAGACTGCTGGGTTAGGTCCGATGCTGTGTAGCGAGTCGGAATTGAAGAAGCCAGGTTCTCATGCACCTTTTTGGAGAAGGTAGAACTCTTCTGTCTGTTCCTCTGCTAAAGTGTTTGAGCTTCTTTTTGAAGTCGGGGAGGCCAAAGGAAACCCAGCAGTTTCATTATTTAAAAACAGCTTAGTTTATCCTCCCTTCTTCCGACTTCTTGATGACTAAAGCATATGCTGTTGTATACAAAGATAAACCTGTAAAATGTGTAAATGAATTTAATGATCTTCAATTCAATGATCTGCAATTGAATTGCAGTTCAATTGCAAACCGTTTTGCAGAGTAGAGTCTATCCAGGAGGAGAGTTTTATGTTGTTTCCTTTTTTTTTTTAGTGAAAACTTGTAAATAAATTCTGAATTTCTAAGTCAAGCACTGTCTTTCATAACTCTCTCTATGTCTGTCTACAGTGGGAGTATCCCAGAACTCAGCTTCGTCCTGTTCCAGATACCAGAGTTACTGTTCTCACACTAAGTATTTTCCTCATCCCTGTGGCGCTTGCAAGTACCATTTCTTTGCCGTGAAGCTGTATTTAGGTTTATGTAGCAAACCTGATGAGCCGTGGTAACATTGGCTGGAGGCAGAATAGGATCGTGCTAGTCTTTAGATTCTGAAGCAGGTAGATCTAAAGTATTTCTTTGTAATAATCTTTGTGTAATTCAGAGGCGACGAGGGTACAGTCTGGATCAGTTACTTTCAAATATCTGTCTTTCACGGGAACTGGACGGTATGTGTGAGGAATAGATAAAACATGGAAGGTATGCAGGCCTTTTTGTGAAATTTTTGTGAAAAAGCGGTGGTAGGTGTTTCCATTGCTGATGCATTGGATTGGAGCACTGAGTGATTTGAAGCACAGCTTGCGTATTGTCTCCTTTTCTTGACTGTTAAAAACACTAGTTCTTACTAAAATGAAAGGCAGTACTGAAGATTATAATCAACAGCTTTAAAAACGGGTGAAAAGTAATTTCTGCCCTCCTTCTGTCCTTTCAGAAAGGCTGAAGTTTCGATACATGGCTTACAGCACGGGGGCAGATCATTTAAAAATTGATTAGGCACGTGCAGTAAGAAGGGTCGGTGGTTCTGTGCACCAAGAATCCTGCATTTGAGGCAAAACTGGGATGTGTTTTACCTGGCAGATGCAAAATAGCTATTCAAAGAGGGGCAGCGGCTGAAGACCTGGTCTCCCAGGTAATAAGCAGGGAAGAGGGCAAAAGGGCAGCCAGCAGACAGGCAGAGAAAGGAGCGTAGAGAGAAACAGCAAAGGAGTAACTACACTGCTGCTGCCTCCTCGTGTGGCTTTGAGCAGTTCTGAAATAAGTCTGCTGTGACTTGAGTTCAAACAAGGCGAAGCACCTCAAACCTGGCAGGGGCTCGGGTTCTTCAGTGGTGGGGAACAGCCAAAAAAAAGGTTCCACCTGGCAAAGAGCTCCGTGTGCGAAGTAGCCTGCCCTCCAGTAGTCGCTTCAAACCGTGAGCAGCATTGTCGCCCCTACCTGGCACAGAAATGGCAATAACCAGAACGTGTTACAGATCGGAGTGAGGACTAAGACTTTCTGGTGTAGAATAATTGGTTCTAGTAAGGATTTGTAAACAGAAGATGCTCTCACAGCAGTGGACTGCAGTGTGGCGGTACCAGCCGTGGCTGCCTGTGCGGGGAAAAGGAAGACTGTGGGATACGAGAGTCTTTAGTACAAACACAGGCGGGAACGAGGGATCGTTTCTGTATACCTGTACAGTTAAAGGCTTTGTTTTGAAGGGCGTGGGGACAGGCGAAGGGAAAAGCAGGAAGGTAATGTGTTTGTACGTGAACAAACGAATCTCGATCTCACTTTAATTGTCCCTGGTGTCTCACATTAGGTTGCAACGGTATGAATTTAGAACCGTGCAATCTTACATACCCTGGATTTTTTTGATGCACCATCACAATACAAAGCTGTGATATACCACACTTAATTAATTTACTTGCCCTCATTTCTTAACGAAACCCTAACTGCAGTGGCTTAAAATGCGATTGCATCTGCCCGTGTTTTCCGCAAGCTGCCTCTCCTGGAGATAAAGCAGGGCACGCTCCGCCACCACCCCAGCTACAGACTGGTCTCCACCGCCCCCCCAGCTACAGACTGGTCTCCACCGACTGGGACCTGCCACCGTCCCAGCCGAAGCCTCACAACACAGCAGCTGTAAGGAGCCCATATCCAGCACGTCCACAGACGCTCCCGGGGCGGCTCCGGCCGGGAGGCGCTCCAGGGCCGCATCCCTCAGCAGACCAGGCCGGCTGGGGCAGGAGGCGGTTGTTCCCTGCCTCCTTCCCCCGCCCTCAGCCCGCCG